AGGAATCGAACCTGCCACCCTTTGGTTCACAGGCTGACACTGAAACCACTTCGCCACACAAACCAGGGCAAATTTCTGTTGTTTTAAGCCACTAAATCTGAGATGCTTGATTACAACAGCCCTAGGAAACTTACAGGGCCTCCCAAGGCTTATCAGTTTGCACACAAACAGTTTGTAGTCTTTATTTGAAGGGCATCATTTCAGCATTTGTGTCCATAAATTTTGTTTTTGCAAAACCCTGGGACTCTGATGATGTTCTCGAGGGTGCTGGAGTGTCCTCATGGAGTCTAGTGCCTGACTCCCGTGAAGTGGGGTCAGATGCCTGGAGAAGCACCTGGAAATGCCATTTTTAGGTCCTACCTGAGACTGAATGAGGAGAAATTAGACTTCTTTTTTCTAGTTTTTAAGAGACATTGCACAACTCACACTTCCATAGGCATTGATGGTCTTTCTCATTCATTCAACTCTTATTGCACACGTACTGTGTGTCCGTGGTGGGTAGACAGTTATGGCCCCTGCCCTCACTGAGCCTCCAGTCTAGGAGCAGCCTCGCACCACTCCACCATTGCTAACCCTCGCCAGGCCTCCTCGTTGAGCAGAAGTCTGCCTGACTTACAGCATATCCCCAGTGGTTATAAACCTCCACCTTTGAAAGAGGAGATGACTCTTTGGACTACCCAGAGTCCTTCCGAGCCCTGTCTGGGGAATGAGATGTATGATTAAGCTGGAAGGAAAAAATCTAGGTCTTTGACCCCCCCACCCTAAAAACCTCAGGGGAAAAAAACCCCCAGACTATCTTAATAGCAATACCAGTGGGACAGTTTCATAACTCATCAGAGGATGCTGTGGAAGAACAGTGTTATCAGAAAAGTTTTTAAAAAATATATTCTTATTGATTTCAGAGAGGAAGGGAGAGGGAGAGAGAGATAGAAACATCAATGATGAGAGAGAATCATTGATCGGCTGCCTCCTGCAAGCCCCACAATGGGATCAAGCCCGCAACCCGGGCATGGGCCCTTGACCGGAATCGAACCTGGGACCTTCTGTCTGCAGGCTGACACTCTATGCACTGAGCCAAACCGGCTAGGGCCAGAAATTTTTTAAATGTCTTGTTACATCATGGTCATATAAGGAAATCCTTTTAACTTAAGCCTACGGTACTCAGTAGCCTTTCCCTCCTTTCCTTTGCTCTAAAGGAGCAGGATCTTTAACTTTTTTAAAAAAATCCTTACCCGAGAACATGTTTATTGTTTTTTGAGAGAGAGAGAGAGAGAGAGCAAGGAAGATGTGAGAGAGAATTTTTAATAGGTTGCCTCCTGTACATGTCTGGACCAGGGATCGAACCCAAAACCTAAGCATGTGCCCTGACTGGGAATGAACCCGAAACCTTCGGGTGCAAAGGAGGATGCTCCAACTAGTGGAGCCACCTGGCCAGGGCAATGAGTGTGATCTTTATCTCCTCTTCTTTCTTTCTCTTAATCTCACTCGTAAATAAATAGACGATGAGGTCTCAGACCTTTCCTGAGCGATACTCTAGGTTGCCCTCATTATTCCTCCTGACTTGCCCATGGGTCTTCTTCCAAGGCCGTCATCTAATTGTGATGTGAGCCTCATCACAGCTGCCACAGCACGTCACGAGACACGTACATGGCACACACTCAGAGCTGAAGCTGCAAGTGAAAACAGGAAGCAGGCAGGCTTTCCATTCCAGAGGGAACTGTCTCAGATGCCTTGGAGAATGACTCTCAGCTTCTGCCTCGGTGAGCTGACCTTTGTTTCAACCTCGAAACTATTTTGTTATGGTGTGTGGAAATGGCAAAGGTTAAATTCAGTGCTTCGTGAGGCAATCGTCTATCTAATAACCACCTTTTGTTATGTCGAATAAGACCATCTCTGCAAAGGGTGAAGAGGGATGCATTTGCTCGTTTCATTCACTCACCGGACAGGTATGAAGTGACAGGCTACTTTGGCAGATGACGGGAAATCTAAAGCTAGAAACGCAGTCTCTACCCTTGCAGGGCTCATAGTGGGGAGAGAGATATAAACTGACTTGAATGTAACCAGGACCTCTCGAGCCACTCTGCTATATGTTGGAGACCTATCCCAGCATCCAAACCGCCCTGCTCTCAAGGCATTCCATGAGCAGGCAAAGGAGGGGCATACAGCGCTCATCATCAACAACACTTGCAATCATCCTCTTTATTTATTTATTTATTTATTTTTTTAAATATATTTTATTGATTTTTTACAGAGAGAAAGGGAGAGGGACAGAGAGTCAGAAACATTGATGAGAGAGAAACATCAACCAGCCGCCTCCTGCACACCTCCCACTGGGGATGTGCCCGCAACCAAGGTACATGCCCCCGACCGGAATCGAACCTGGGACCCTTCAGTCCGCAGGCCGACGCTCTATTCACTGAGCCAAACCGGTTTGGCATCCTCTTTTTTTAAAGCCTCTCTGCTCCTTTCCCAAACTCTGCCTGTCACCTCATCCCACCCCAAAAGCAGGACCTTAGCTTTTTCTCTCCGCCCTACCCCTCCACTTGCAACCTGGCTTATTTAAAAAAAAAAAAAAAGACTTATCTCAAGTGTCTCTCAAGACTGCTCCAGGGAGCCTCAATTCAATGTGTCTGGTGCTGCTGGACTGTAGCGCGTAAGGCAGGAAGCAAGAGACCAGAGAGGAAGCCTAGAGTCAGAGTAATGTGACCCTCATCTGCAGATTATTTTTCATAGTGGCAGCACTTACTTTTAATTTTTTTTGACTACTTCTAAGGTTGCAAGACTTGGTAAATAAGAAGATAAGATGCCCAGCTAAATTTGAATTTTATATAAACAATGAATATGTCTCACGGCAAATTTGAACATATTTATACTAAACATTATTTGTTATTTATTTAAAAATCAACCCCGACTCCTTCATAAGAGGTATTGTGTCATCAAGAGGTTTCTACTATCTCGCCGTCTCTCTTTTTGCGATGTTAGTGGCTGGTGATGATGATCATGGCCTAAACTGATTATTTCCCTAGAGATTGTAAAATAAATATTCTAATTCTACCTTTTTTCCTCTTCGTTTCTTTCTTTCTTTTTAATCCTCACCTGCGAAATAAGGATTTTTTTTCCCCCATTGATTTTTAGAGAGAGGGGAAGAGAGAGGGAGAGACACAGAGAGAGAAACATTGATGTGAGAGAGATGCATTGATTGGTTGCCTCCTGCTTGGTCCCAGACCGGGCCAGGGATTGAACTACAACTGAGGTACGTGCCCTTGACCAGGAATCGAACCTGCGACCCTTTGGTCCTCTGGCTGATGCTCTAACCACTGAGCAAACAGGCCAGGGCTCCTCTTCATTTCTTAACTGGAATATGTCTATAAAGAGAAACTCCCCCATCAACTATTTGGTTTGCCTTGTCCTTTTCTTATAAGAAAAGTAGGATGCATGTTTAATTCTTTTTATTTATGAATTTTCAGAGTATGTAATTAGTTCCCTGGCATCCTCCAAAGGTGACCAATGAGTTGTGTTCTTTCCCTTGAGTGTATCATTATGAACTCAGGGATGTTGACATGTATATCTTTTGATCCATTGCTATTATTATTCTTTTAGACATCCAAATCGTCCCATCTTTGGCCAGTGGGAGCCTCTGGCACTTGGCTTCTGAGTCCTTCTGATGCCACTCCAGTAGTCTTTGTTGGTCCCTTTGCTTTCTAGTGTAGCAAGATGTTCCAGATTCATCTTACACATTTCCAGCCCAGACCTGAACAAGACATTTCTCTTAGGAGCCCCTTCAGTGGGAAATGATGTTGAGAGACCGAACATCTGTGACTCCACTATTTAAAACTATAACAACCCACTGGAACAAACACAAGTTCACATGCTCTCTGAGATCCCCTGGCCCTGATCTAATGATGCAGGCCTGAGAAGAATGGGGGAGACGACTGGCATAACCCAGGCAAGGGCGAAGAAGGGCCTGGATCGGGACAGGGAAATGGCACTGACTGAACTTACGAAGCAGGTTGACCTAGAGACCTCCCAATTCCAGACCAGGAGGCAAAGGCCAGGGCGGATCATTTCTCAGGATCCAAACCTACCCGCCAAACAGCCTTTCTCCATCTCACCCTCACCCCAGGTAGACACACGTACCAAAACATCGCACCCTTTCCCAAAGCATAGAAAGCAGGATGCACACTGGGACCCTGGACAAATGCCCAGCTGCCTCCAGGGTGGCCTGGTCTGGGGACAAAGCCGAGAAAGCGCCCAGGGTTTCCTTGTTCCCCCTCCTGGGTTTAAGTGAATCTTGAACACACTCTTCTCGGCTACCCAAGGATTAGCCATGTGTTTCAGCAAGTGATTGAAAATCATTACTCGTCTCTTTTGGTTGAACCTCAGACGTTTGAAATGTACACAGCTTGGCAGGCTGGCCAGGGCAGCTGAGCTTTAAGAGGACGTGTCCCAGCCATCTGTTGCCCTGCTTCATACCAGCCTCTGCCCTTCCCGCTGCTGAGGAGCGCAGGGCTTGACGAGCAAATGCAGGACAAAGACAACTGCAGCCTTGGCCTCAAACAGTTGCTCACGCTGTGTCTTGAAGGTGGGGGGAAGGGAAGTTATTGCATCGTTTTTAAGTGCTTTGCCTTGAGACATGGAGTTTTTCCTTCATCTTAGAGATCCAGGCAGTTTTAGGGACAGAGACAAAGGACATTCCCTGTGATTTCCCCTCCATCAGAGCAGCTCCAACTGTGCTCAGCTACTCTGAGGTGATTCAGGCATGCAATGTGAAGATTAGAATTTCATTTTAAAATATCTAAGTATTTTTAAAGCTGCTATTAAACTCTGTGGCGTGGCTCAGTGGTTGAGAGTCGACCTACGAACCAGAAGGTCACAGTTTGATTCCTGGTCAGTCCACATGCCTGGGTTGTGGGCTTGATCCCCGTGTGGGGCTTGCAGCCGATCAATGATTCTCTTATCACTAATGTTTCTATCTCTCTCTCCCTCTCCTTTCCTCTCTGAAATCAATAAAAATATATTTTTTAAAAAGCTGCTATTCAAAAGTATGTAGCCTAAAACTATATGGATGCATTAAATAAGCACATCTATCCCAGGAGGTTTAAATTGCATCACCCTGGGGAAGGCAGTCAATTTTATTATTATACTTTTTATTAATAGACTTTATTTTTTCAGAAAAAAATTTTAGATTTGCAAAGAAATTGAGCAGATAGTACAGAATTCCCATATTACCCGCCCCCTTCCCAGCACCCACTTTCCCCTATTAACATCGTTCATGGATATGGTACATTTGCCACAATTGATGGCTTGATATTGAGACATTATTTTTAATTAAAGTCCGTAGTTTATTCAGATTTCTTTAGTTTTTACCTACTGGCCTTCTTTCTGTCCAGGATCCCATCCAGGGTACCACGCTACATTAAGGTGTCTGGTCTTCTTGGGCTTCTCTTGGCTTTCCCAGACTCTCCTTGTTTTTGATGACTTTGTGAGTCCTGGGTGAGTATTTTCCTCTGTTTGCAATCCCTCTATCAGGATTTATGTACTTTACTCGTGATAGACTGGAGTTGTGGGTTTGGGGAGGATGATCGCAGAGGTAAAGTGCCATTCTCATCACATCATATCAACGGCCTGTGCTACAACATGATTTATGACGGTTAATGTTAATCTTTTTAAAAAATATATTTTATTGATTTTTTTACAGAGAGGAAGGGAGAGGGATAGAGAGTTAGAAACAATGATGAGAAAGAAACATTGATCAGCTGCCTCCTGCACACCCCCACTGGGGATGTGCCCGCAACCAAAGTACATGCCCTTGACCGGAATCAAACCTGGGACCTTCAGTCTGCAGGCCGATGCTCTATCCACTGAGCCAAACCGGTTAGGGTTGTTGATGTTAATCTTGATCACCTGCCTGAAGTAGTGTTTGTCAGATTTCCCCACTGTAAGGTTTTCTTCTTTTAAAAATTTTATAGAAGTGTGAACTCATAGATATTTATTTTATACTTCGGGTTATAATCTAATACTACTTTGTTTCATTCCTCAAATTGTTCCAGCTTTGGCCATTGGGAGCTCTCCGTCGACTCCTGTGCCCCCGTGTCACACCCCCATCAATGCGGGCTTTTTGTGTAAACTCCGTTTTGTGAGGACTTTGGCACAAGTTCCATCTGGCGTCCCTGAGAGTGGACTGGCACCGATAGTGGGTGTGTCTGCAAGAATCCGTGCTGCGCCAGCCTGGGCATGTCTGCTTGTAAAGAGCAGAGCAATGAAGAACTGAGTACTTCCTGCACCAGCTCCACCGGGCTCCACAAACACCTTTAACAGTGACTATGGAGAGATGACATTGTCTTGTTTGTTTAGTACTTGCTGTAAGTTTTAGTTGTTTATTGCCTAACTTTTATGTTTATGATGAGGATAAAGAGCAGTTGGATATTTTGATAATTACTCATTCAATTCAAACAAAAATTTCCAATACTTTTCTTTCTAGTTTTTAGATCGATTTAATTGAAGACTATTATAATCTCAAATTGGGGGCGGGGGGAAGGCTTTGGGTAGGAGTTAAGAACACAAACTCTAGCACAGGACTTCCTTGATTTAAATCCTTGACCTTGGGCAAATTACTCCACTCCCCTGTTCCTCAGTTTTCTCACCTGTAAGAGGGGAATGCTAATGGTAGACCTACTTCAAAGGTTTGTTAATTGAGTTAATATACATAAATTGATTAGAATAGAGCCTGACATATAGTGGGTGCTGTGTAATGGTGTCTGTCATTATTATTTACACCACCTGCTATGGTAAGAGTGTTTGTATCTCCCCAAACTTACTATGTTGAAACCCTAATTCCCATGGTGGCATTAGGAGGTGGGGCCTTTGTGGGTGATTAGATCATAAGGGTAAAGCCCTGATGATTGGGATTAGTGCCTTTATAAAAGAGGACCCACAGATCTCTCTCGTTTCCTCTGTCATGTGAGGATCTATGAGAAGTCTGCGACTCCAAAGAGGACCCTCATCAGACAATGATCTTGGACTTCCAGTCTCTAAAACTGTAAGAAACGAATTTCTGTTGTTTATAAGCTACAGCCTATGGTGTTTTGTTATAGCAGCATGAATGGACTAAGAAACCATTCATCTGTATGACCAGAATTTTCTCAGAACTCTGTGACCAAAGCAAAATACAAAAACAAGTTGGATGCTAAGCCTGACATAAGACTGTGAATCGGTCAGGGTTCCGATTTAAAAATGCAACAGGAACCGGCTCTGGATGACTTAAGCATAAGAGGAATTTACAGAAAGCATGCTGGGTAGCCCACAGAATCTCTGGGAAGGCCAGAGAGCCAGGCTCAGGGCAGGAATGACAACAAAGGATGCTGGACAGCAGCCAAGAGCATGGCCAGAAGTGTGACACAGAAGCTGTCGAGAGTCCTGCCCTGGCCTCAGAACCCTGGGAAGCTTGTGCCACAACCTGGGCTGGGGCCTGAATGATGACCCTGCTGCTGCTGATACCCTGGAATCTGGACATGACGACCACAGCTGCCACCCACACGGGAAAAGGCTCTTTGAGGCACTCCCTCTGTGGTCCCTGGTACAGGCCAGGGCAGTGCACCTGATTGGCCAAACACAGATCATATGTCTAAGCTCTGCAGATGAAGGAGGCTGGGAGGCAAGTGTCTGGCCTTTTCAGCCTCTATGGTGAGAGGTGAGCCGCGGGCTCTAATTTCTACTGAGGCTCAGAGGGTGGAGTCTTCCCCACACCTGGGAAGGGATTCTGAGGCTGGGCACCCAAAATATGGCAAATGTCATCCAACACCCCTACTTTCAGATTTTGTTCCATCATATTAGCATCATTGATGGACTTGGTAAAAAGCAAAAGTTTGAAAAACGCTGGCCCATTGCTCTGGTGTCCCTTATATTTTTCAAGTCAGAGGGATAGGTCACTAATTTCTGTGAATTCTAAGGAAGATAGAAAGAAGCTCTGCTGGCTGGATTTGGGTCGGATTTCATGGAGGCTCAGACTCTGGGCCTTAAAGGATGTTGCATCCAAACTTTTGTAAGTGACAGTAGACGCTCCTGCAATTCATAAAATACAAATTCCTTTATTTTTTTGTATATTTTATTGATTTTTTACAGAGAGGAAGGGAGTGGGATAGAGAGTTAGAAACATCGATGAGAGAGAAACATCGATCAACTGCCTCCTGCACACTCCCTACCGGGGATGTGCCCCGCAACCAAGGTACATGCCCTTGACCGGAATCGAACCTGGGACCCTTGAGTCTGCAGGCTGACGCTCTATCCATTGAGCCAAACCTGTTAGGGCTGAATTCCTTTATTTTTTTATGTATTGATTTGAGAGGGATAAATGTGCTGTTCCACTTATTTATGCATTCATTGGTTGCTTCTTGTATGTGCCCTACCTGGGGATCGTATCTACAACCTTGACATATTGGAACAATGCTCTAACCAACTGAGCTACCCAAATTCTTTTAAAAGATACAAAACAGATTATTGTTTTTTATCATTTTGCATTGTGTGGCTCAACAGATACTAAAATTACCATTGCCATCTGGAATCTTTGAAATTTTTTGCTCTGGGAAAGAAGCCTTCATATTCGCACGTTGGAAACCCTGTGCATTGTCTAAGTGGAGGAATGGAGTCCCAGAGGTGAAATGACTTATGCAAGGTCACACAGCTGGTTTGGTGGCAGGCTCTGAGCCTAGTGCCTCAGTCCTTGGTGTTCCCTCTTGTCATGCTGCCAGCAGCTGGCCCAGGAGCAGGCCTGGCCTTCCAGCCCACAGCCACTGCCTTTCTGACAGGAGACCCAAAGCTGCTTTTGAATACTGGCCTGTGGCCACTGCTGCTGCTTTATTAATTCTTACGGTTTAGTGTGGGAAATCCTGAGTGGCTTTCTCTCTACCTCAGGCTCCTCCCTGAAGAGAAGAAAAGAGCAAGCAGACAGTAGCCCCCACACTGGTGCTGGGCTTCACCTCTGGACTCCAGCCTCTGCTGGGCTCTGCTCTGGCTCCTCCTGAGTGTGGCTAATCTCCTGCCTTAACCTTTGACTTGTTCCAGATCCTGATAAACAGATTCCCTGGTCCTGCAGTCACACCCTGGCTCCCAGCCATGAGGCTAGGTCAGATCCTGCCGTCTGCTGCATGCACTCTAACAATGAAACAGCCTGTCTCCTGGTCTGGCCAGCCAGATCTGGACCCAGCCAACCCTGAGGAAGCTCCTGGAAGCAGGGCTCATACCCTGCCCTCCCTGGCATCCTCAGAACCCACCGTGGCCTAGCAAATCCTTGTTGAAGAGATGAATGGCCTGCTCTGTTTGGGTGCTGCCCACATCTAGTCATAACATACTACAGCAAAGGGAGGTGGAGGTGTTGAGAGGACAAACTGTGTAAAAGTTATTTTTCATCTACGCCACCTGGGGGTATTTATGTCTTGTATTGACACTAGTTATTTAGATCTGAACCCACAATGCCATAGACAAGATTTGGGGTGTGGCTTGCCCAGGTCAGAGCAGGGGAAACTGGTCTTGGGAATGCCAAGAGAACTTCAGGCAAAGTCAACTTAGCTAAACCAGGGAGAAAGACATCCATCCATCCACTGATTCATTCATTCATTCATTCATTCATTCAATAAATGTGTATTGAGTACCCTATGTGTCCAGTTTTATGTTAGACACCCAGAGATTCAATGATGAATGAGACAGACTCTCTGCCCTCAAGATGTTTAGAGTGAGGAAGACAAAGCAGGGAACTGGTATTTACAATAGATTATGAAGCAGGTGGAAATAATAATAGCTAATATTTATTGAGTGCTCACTATATCCCAGACTCTGCATTAAGCTATTGACTATGCATTGTTTCAGGTTGTCCTCACAGGAACCTGTTAGTAGGTATTACTATTACTTCCGTCTTACAGGTGAGGAAATAGGGCGTGGAGAGGTTAAGTGACTTGCCCAAGGCCACACAGCTGGAATGAGTGGCATACCTACATTTTCAATTGAGATAGTTTTACTATAGGGCCAATGCTTCCCATTCCTCCACTATAGCTCTGTCTCAGCACAGTAGAGGAACGCACAGGATGCGATTGTAGCACATAAAAGTACACTGAACGGGAGAGGGCAGGGAAGACTCCCTTGAGGAGGTGACACATAAGCAGAGTCCAAAAGGAAAATGGGGAGGAAAAGGCATTCCAGATTGAGGGAACCGCATGTACAGAGACTGGAAGCAAAGGCCAGGGTGCATTAATTACTGATTAGTGAACACTGACTGTTTGCCAAGGACATCTAGAAGCTGTAATATCAGTGTCAACATCACTGGCTCGTAGTGAATGGAGAGAAGACTGGAGAGAGAAGAGGCTAAAGGGTTTAGCAGGCACCAGTTCACAAAGGCCTTTCAAAGCCAGGCCAAAGGACAGGGGAGAGACGCTGAGGGGGAGTTTCACAATCAGATTGCACTTCAGAAAGCTCAGTTTTTAATTATACTTTGGAGAAGGAATAGAGTCAAGCAAGACAGGAGGCCATTACGGTTGTCCAGTCAGGAGCTGACGGTGGCCTGCAGAGGGGATTGGCAGTGGCAAGAGAGAAAAGTAGCCTAGGTTTGATTACGTAGTTGTAGAGGAGGTCACCCTAAAACCAGAAGATTGGTGGAGACCAAGACACCTAGGTGAGCCTCAGTGGGTCAAGGCTCAGCACTGGTCCAATGTCAGGCAAAAAGCCAAAGGCTAATCAGGTAAGTGGATGCTAGAAGAAAAATCCAGCAAAAGGTCGTGGGGACTCAGCAACAGGAATAAGAGGCCAATGAAAGGACTTCCGCTCCTGGCAGGCTGGATGAGGAAAGAGAATTTTCCACTGGACAAGTAGAAATGGGGGGTCAACGGGAAGCAGCACCAGGAACAGGGTCCAGAGGCTATTCTGGACTGGCAGTGAGACTGAGGATGCTCATCTGCAAGACAGAGACGCAGAGTTCCTTCTGTGCGCCCCTTTCTCTGCCGGTAGCCAGATGGGTCCTATTTAATCGGGTCTGGGTTCAAGATCGGTGGGACAGGGCAATGTCGTGAAGGAAAAGAACAGAGCTTGGACCACAGACAGATTGAAGTTGGGACCTCATCTGGAGTCATTTACTAGTTTACGACTCCAGGCAAGTTACTTAATCTCTCCGAGCCTTAGCTCACTCATCTATAACATGAGGATAACAGTATCTACTCCAGGGTTATTGAATGGGAATAACAGTACCTATTGCACAGGGTTACTATGAGGATATGGAGGTTAACATGTGAAAGGCCAGAGTAGGTGCTCAGTCAAGCCATCAACTGTTCACCTTTATCAGAAGTCACTTATGTGCTGGGCCCTGGGCCGAGGGTTTCGGTGCCTTTACCTTCCCTAAGGGAGATATTATGATTCCCATTTTGTGGGCCAGGAAATAGGCTCAGAAAGATTAAGAAATCTGTCCAAAATCAATTGCCAGCAAATGTGTTTTTCTCCAATGTCCACCAGTGTTTTTCTGAACTTTGGTCTGCATTCTCTGTACAACTTTTTCTATATCAACTGACCACCTATACTATTCTTTGCCTGATATTTTATTAAAATTAGTCTCCATTTTTACGTTAATTCAGCGGTTCTCAACCTGCGGGTCGTGACCCCTTTGGCAGTCGAACGACCCTTTCACAGGGGTCGCCTAAGACCATCCTGCATATCAGATATTTACATTACAATTCATAACAGTAGCAACATTACAGTTATGAAGTAGCAACGAAAATAATTTTATGGTTGGGTCACAACATGAGGAACTGTATTTAAAGAGCCAGAAGGTTGAGAACCACTGCTTTAATTCATTTGCTTTTAAAAAGAGCTTTATTGAGCCCTAACCAGTTTGGCTCAGTGGATAGACTCGAGCGTCAGCCTGTGGACTCAAGAGTCCCAGGTTTGATTCCAGTCAAGGGTATGTACCTTGGTTGTGGGCACATCCCCAGTAGGGGGTGTGCAGGAGGCAGCTGATCGATGTTTTTCATCGATGTTTCTAACTCTCTATCCCTCTCCCTTCCCTCTCTGTAAAAATCAATAAAATATATATTTTTTAAAAAGAGCTTTATTGATATCTTAATTCACATAGCATCCAGTTCACCCATATAAAGCGAATTATTCAATGTTCTTTAGTATAGTCACAGAGTTGCGCAACCATTCCCACAATAAATTTTAGAACACTTTTGTAATAAATTTACTTTTAAAGGAAACTTTTTATTGTTCCCATAAATGGAAAACTTATGTTATTTACCATAAATGGCAGTCAAAACAAAAATTAAAAAAGCAACAACACCTAGGCAATGTTATTAAAAGCTCTCTAGTTAGCACAGCCTGTGAGGTATCTGGGCTTGAGAATTTTTGCCAAAAAGGGAGATTAGTAGGTGTTAAAGACACACTAGCGCCCTAGCCAGTTTTTCTCAGTAGTTAGAGCATCAACCTTCCAGCCAAAGGGTTGAAGGTTTGATTCCTGGTCAAGAGCAGGTGGCCCAGGTCATGGAGCAAACAATTCATGGATCTCTCTCACATCGATGTTTCTCTCTCTCTTTCTAAAAATCAATGGAAAAATATCCTCTCATGAGAAAAAAAAAAAGACACATTAGCAGCAAACTGAGACCCTATTTTTAGCATAATCAGAAAAATAAAAAGATAATTAAAAGTAAACTTACTTTTTCACTGTGCAATTTAATGCCACGTCCTTGGACTCCCTATAACCACCCTGTGTGTACATCCCACACTTGCCTCCTTAAGGTAAGGAAAGTGACTTGTCCAACGTCACACAGCTAGGTAGTGGCAGATTGGATCTGGAATCCAGGCTTCTAAACTTCTAATACTATGTTCTTTGCACTATATATCATAGTCCTCTCTGCAGTCATTAATTTAAGTTGGTCAAATGCCTAATGTGTGTGCTAGACAGCCCTGTTAAAAATTTACAAAGCATATATGTTATAGCTAGAAGGAACCTCAGAAATAATCTAATACAACTCCTTTCATTTTACATGTGAGAAAACTGATGAATTTGTTCACCTAAGCATGTTTAGAATTGCCTGTCAGTCAGTTGAATAGGACATATAACTAATGATACAGCTACAAACAAGCCAGAATTAATATGATCCTCTCTGGTCCTGGGCTTAAATTAACAAAATTCCTGATATCTCAGTGCTGACCTAGCTTCAGTCTTACTCTTTAATTTGATCCTTTGGTCTGTCACAACCTCTGATGAGTAGTTTTGAGATTTTTACTTTCCTTGCAAACTAAAAAGGTAGCCTGCCACAGTTTTATGGATGCTGGCAGAACGCACAAGGCTTCTGGGTCAGAAACAGAGGACTTCTTTAGTCACAGCAATAGCAGCAGCAAAAGTATGGACTTTTTCTTTTCTTTTTTTTTATAAGGGAATTTTTAATATATTTTATTGATTTTTTACAGAGAGGAAGGGAGAGGGATAGAGAGTTAGAAACATCGATGAGAGAGAAACATCGATCAGCTGCCCCCTGCACACCCGCACTGGGGATGTGCCCACAACCAAGGTACATGCCCTTGACTGGAATCGAACCCGGGACCCTTCAGTCCGCAGGCCGACGCTCCATCCACTGAGCCAAACCAGTCAGGGCTGGACTTTTTCTTATGCTGGTTCCCTGATCTCCAATTCCCAAAGATGGTGCAAAGAGGGCCAGTTGATACCTGAGCACATGGTAAGATACATCACGAGAGAGGAATCCAAAGCTTAGGGAACCAGATCTTAAATGACAGACAGCAAGCACGCCTGTACTTTGCTCTGAGAAAGACACTATCTTATAAAGATAGTCAGGAACAAAGGGCAGTCAGTGACTGCTCACAGGCATGCAGCAATGTGACAGACCCACGGAGAATTGTCTCCCAACAACTGTTAAGTACATATATGGCAAGTGAGCTCACAGTCCTCTAACTACACCAGAAGGCAAGGGATGGGCAAGTGGAAACACAGGTTGACTAGTCCTGTTCTTTGTATATTGATTCTTATTTGGTTTCAATTATGGAAAGAGTATGTGGAGGCTTGCTTGTGGATTTTGACACGTGTCTCACTTTTTTGATGCGTGTAGCCTCAATTCGCTGCCTTGACAGGATTTAGACAATTCAAATTATTTCTTTTGCATAGCTGCCAGAAACCTCCAGAAGCTCCATAACTCCACAGGAAGAAGAGTATAGCCTTCCAAATGTTATTTGCTTCCGGAAATAGTGCATGCTGGGAAAACCCATGCTGGCCATACCTCAGTCATGTCTGGGATGTACACCCATGTCTTGCATCATGTCCATCAATACCTGTAATAAATGTGACAAGGTTTGCCAGTCACCAATCATTAAGATCCCTGACTTGGTTTAGTCTGTAATTTCAAACCAGGACTAATGGGTCACAAAGTCAGGCTTTATTTGTTAAATGAGCTCCATCTCTGAAGGCAGCTGGTTTGTATCTATAACCAAGACCCAGAATTCAGGCCTCTAGCTGTCAGGTCTCAAGGCTGTTAGTTTTGTTCCTCTGTCTGGAGGAAGATGAATTCCTAGGCCCGTGGTCGGCAAACTGCGGCTCACGAGCCACATGCGGCTCTTTGGCCCCTTGAGTGTGGCTCTTCCTAAGCCTTAGGAGTACCCTAATTAAGTTAATAACAATGTACCTACCTTTATAGTTTAA